GCCATTCTTCTGCTCAGGACCACAACCAGGAATCTTGCAGGCGTCGCCGATGGCACGTCGTGAGTTTGCGACGGGCCCTGGCCCCCGTGCCACACCTCTCCGTCTTGCAAGGCGGGTCGATGTGGGCATGGCAAACCGTGCTGAGCTCGCGTGGACTCCAACGCCACCAGATGATCAAGACCACCTGGACCCAACATATCCGTATATTCCCACATGTGGATTATCATGGATCGTTCTCGTCTGTAAACATCCGAAACCCAACCGCAACCGCCGCAGAAACGCCTTTGACGGATTGTGTTTCCCAGTATGGACCCGTCTACCACTGTGTAGTGCCGCGCATGGATTCCCATACCTGTCAACGCACTCGACTCCGCAGCACAGACAGCATCAGCTAATGCGCTGCACAGCTCGCTGGCGTCGCACTGGCGAGTGCCCCTAAAATCATTGGTGCGACCGCGCTGAAACAACCCGTCGCGCACCGCTCTCACTCCTGGAACTTGTTCGCTTTTATCTACAGGAAGGTCACCGAGAGATGCGCCCATCAGATCCGCCTGCTGTGCTAGCGCACGCGCACCGCACTGACGACGCCGTCGGACGCTGCATGCGCGTCGACGAAGCAACACTGCGTGCCGAATAGGTTCCAGACGCAGTAATACTTGCACTGCGGCGTTCGCAAAACACGAATTTCCAATGTTCGGCATGCCCTTTATCCGCTCTCGAGCGCACGCCCAGGCCCCATCCTCAAGCACGACGCGAGCGGAGTCACCGTACAACGCGGCCGCCAGATCCACATCTGACACAGCCTGTCGCACGAGCTCCAACAATGTGCTCTCGTTTGGGCGTTTCGCCAGAATGTCCTGCACGGCTGCGCCCCCTCCCGTATGGTGCCGCTCTTCCACTGCCACGTCGCTATTTGCACTTGCACCGTCCGAGCAGGTCGTCACTACCTGAGCGAAATTAGATGACGGCACCGATGTGCTACCCCCAACCGAAGAATGAAGCCACGGATCATACTCTGCTTCTCCCTCTACAGCGTCGCGCGCGAGCACATCCCCCCCGCTGACCACGCGAGCGACGCGTTTAGTAGACATCCATACTACTGCTCCTGCGCGCACGCCGCGGACGTCACCAAGCTTCCATCTATGCCGCAACGCGGCTGCCATGACTTGCTGCGCGCCCTTCGCTTCATACACCCGCGCAAACACGCGCTCGTCAGGCAGCCACGTCTGAACAGATTGGAGATTTTGTTTCTCTATCGACTCGCCACTGCCACCCCCTGACGCCATGTCGTCTCTACACTCTGTTGCAAACCTTCGCAGTGCTTGCTGGCGCCACCGCCCCCCATGCAAATTTGCACGCGCGACTTGTATTTTTTTCCATGGTGACTAATGCTAGATACATCGCACCCCAATATCACTGCCGACTCGGCATCGGCAATCCCGGCATGAACTTCCTGCGCGACCTCCGCTCGCGGCACCCAGCCACCAAGAGTTTTCTTCTCAGCAACAACGCGTGTACCCCGGCCGCTGGACCTGAAAGATGGGAGCCTTCTGTTGTGGTTACGCTTCACGCTGGAACACGGCGACAACGCGCATTTCAAAACAAAATGACAGAGCTTCCCCTTGCAACGACTTCCTTGCTCGAAAGAACACGGCCGCTGTCGCGTCCGCCGCGAGGAACCCCGTGCGGACGAACGCCGCGACCCCCAACAGATCCTCTGTCCGCGGCGTAGAACACCCAGAAACGCAAAATTCAAAATTTGCGAGCGTTTCCCCCTTCTACAACTTCCAAGTAATCGAGAATGAGGACGACCCGACGACCGCTTAGCCAGGCGTAATATAGTCAAAAACGCAAATTAAAAAATGTGCGAGCGTTTCCCCCTTCTACGCTGACGATGCACTACAAAATGATGACGGCCCCGTCTCCGCCACGCCTTCACTTTCCGCCGGAAATCGCGCCGCCGCGCTGACGACCCCCCTATACTGCCGCCGGCCATCGGGGCCACTTTCCGCCGATTGTCGCGCCGACCACCTTCGATGCCACCACGAAGGGGCCGCCGACCGTCGCAGTCAACAATCGACTGCCAAAGCAAAAACTTCCATGCGCCGGCCTCGAAAGGTCCAGCGCATTGCAGGGTGTGGTTCCTGCAGACCCACGGCTTTTGTGGAAAACCGGTAAACCCTCGGTTGCACCCCGCCGCGGCCGAAGCCGGGCTGACGACTCCAATGGGAGACTCCGTAGAATCTCCCATCGAAGCCGCGGGCTTGAGACAACCGGTAAACTCCCTGGTTGATTAAGGCTCAACCGGTAAAGCCTTCATCGCCCACCGCACTCGCGCCCCGGCGGCCCTCCCGGGGAAGGGCCCGGGCAGAGGGGGGGGTTGCTGTAGCAGCTCAAGGCTGCTTGAGCCTGGCGAACACGCGGCGTGCGATTCCTAGCAGCAACTCCCTGCTTGCATTGTTCCAACCCCCCCGCGCACAAACAATACCATTTCTTCCGCACGCGCGCGCGCACGCACGGGCACTCTTACCTTGTACTGCGCTGGACTCTCCCCAACATGAATCCTTAACTTCCTGCTCCTCCTCCTCGTCCTCCTCCTGCTCATCTTCCCCCTGCTCTTCCGCCTCCTCCCAAAGCCTCGTCCCTCAAGGCTTCTCCGCCTTCTCCTCATCTTTTTTCTTTCCCTCCCAAATCCTCCTCCTCATTCGCCTTCTAGTCCTCCTCTGCGTTCCTCCTCTTGAGGTATGACGGCTTCCGCGACCGTCTCTTTTTCTGCGGTCTCCCATCATCAAGCCAGGGGCGCCAAACTTTCCCTGGAAGAGTGGTCGGCTCCACTGCGACCGCTGATTGGGAATATGCCCAAACACGGCACACTGACGGACTCAATACGGCCAACATAGCCTTCAATACGGACTCGATGGCCTCCAAACCAGACGGGCTACGAGGGTCCAAGGGGCAACCACGTTCGTCCACGACGCCTCCAACACGGCCGATAATGGCCCGAAGACAGCCCAAGACGGCCCAAGTGGCCTCCAAGAGGCCCTCCAGCAAGTTTCGAACATGCCTGGTGATCTCGTCGGCACGGTCGACCGCCCTCTTCCCCCATTCCCCTTATTCCCGTCAGTGCAGCCCCCCCCCCGGAAACGACGACGACGACGACGACGACGGCACCGGTGGCTGCTCGTTCCCCTATCAATCCCGTCCATGGCGCCACGGCGACGGCGACGCGCCGCCAGTTCCTGAAGGGGTCGGCGGTGTGGCGTAAGCCTTAAGAATCGCTCCAGAGCGTTCCGGAGCGCTCTCAGAGCATTCCGGAACGCTCTGGAGCGGCCGCGGCGCCCAATACATCCTCCAAACCCGCCGATTCTCAGAGATTTCGAGTTATCCCGCTCCGACTTTGTCCCGATCTTCGCGTCGTTCTACGTCCGGGGAGGGGGCCTCCGCGGGGACCGCCGCCCGCGGCGGGGCACCTCCGGAGGAGGCCCCAGGGGCCACCCGTGCCGCCCTAGGGCCCTCCGAGAGGCCGGGCACCCGTCCTGCGGGCGCGCGGCCGGCCCAGCGATCGCCGGCTGGAGGTCTTGGAGCAGGGACCGGCCGCACGGGCATCCCATAGAGTCCTACAGTCGGGGCGTTGACCTAAGGAACCCCAGATAAGGAACGGGGCCCTTTTTTCCATGAGTTAAACTTCGATTCCCTATCGAAAGCATGAGGAAAACATGAGGCAAGCTGTGAAACACTTAAGGAACGCGGAGCCCCTCCCCAACGAAAAGGTTCCTTCTCCAGGGCCCCGACTGTACCACGACATGTTCTTAGAACCCACAAATGCTCTCAGGACAAGAACAATGTTCTTAGACATGGAGCCTTTTGTGTTCAAGCAAGACAGTCACCGCCAACAATGCTCTAAGAACATTTCGTGGAAACCACAAAAAGGTTCTTAGAACATTGTTTGGTAGGGCTATATGCGAGCCAGGACGCTTCGCTACCGCTTGAACTTTGGGGGAATGGTGAAACATACCCACAAATACCCCCTAAATACCAACAAGTATGCAAACATCGGTGCCAGACTCTTGATTTACTATTTCTGAAGATTCCCCCTGTAGAGGGACAGGCCGGACATAATGCTAGTTGTCTCTGGGAGCCGCGGGTCCGAACTGCATCCATGGCGTCGCGGCGAGCAAGTTCCAGTGTACTCATCGAGCAGCGCCTGCCCTCTGCACACTTGCGAGCAGGAACGCTGCGAGCAGTGAACCATGCTCGGTGATCCTCGGAAGCCACCGCGCACTTGAGACATGTCCTGGCCCTCCTCCGAAAGCAGAGACGCCGACCAGCCATAGCTGGGGGAGCTGTGGTCCTTACCCTCCTGGGGGAACCCATCGCATCGACGATCTCTCGAGAGGGGTGTCGAGATGGGTCCCCCAGGGGGGTAAGGACCACAGCTCCCCCAGTTGTGTTTGGAGTCCCGGAACGGTGCGGTAACAGACCGTGCGGTGACCTCGAAACCCCAAGGAACCTCACCGCACGGTCCGTCACCGCACGGTCTTGGGACCCTTGAGGCCCCTGTCGCCCGGGACGTCCTCGGAGAGGGACTCGAGTCCCAAAACCGTGCGGTGACCCCGAATCCCACCGACTCACCGCACGGTGTGGCCACCGCACCGTTTGGGGGCCCCCGAACATTGCAGCTGGCCTGAGACGCCCTCTCGGAAGGCCAGAGGGCTTCCGAGAAGCCCGGGCCGCCTGCTGGGAAGGCCTGCCCCCGCCGCCGCCTCCCCCCCTGGGCTCGCCGCTGGCCTGGCCCCCCCCCCGGAGCTTTCGAATGGCCCCTCGCCGCAGGCCGCCCTCTGATATCGCCCTGGGGCCCGCGCGGGTCCTCCGCCTCTTCCTCCTCCTCCTCCGCCTCTTCCTCCTCCTCCTCCTCCTCCTCCTCCTCGTGGCGCCGGAGCAGCGATAGCGGGATTCCAGGTGTGCAGGGCGCGGTACGGGCGGGAACCGCCCCGACGCTCGTCCTTGGTGATGTTGAGCTTGTCCATAATCGACGCGCCGACGCCGCCCTTCCTCGCGGCCCACTCGAGGCTGGCCTGCGCGGGAAGGGCTGGAGAGAGCCGACCGACCGACCTTCTGCCCGTCCTGCCCCTCCCTCTTCTGTCCTCTAGATTGAGGAATGAAAAATCGCCCCTACCCTGGGCTACAAGTGCGTGGTCGGTAAACCTCCTGAGAACTCCCAGCAGGCCAGAGAACCGCCAGGACGCCGCGCGGCACGCGCGATAATCGCAGGGTTTACCCTGTCAGCCCGCAGGAGGCTCAGCGCACAGCGCCTCATAAACCAGGGCAGGGGCGTGTTTCTACGCCCTCGACTATACCCCTCCCCTCCCCAGGGAGATGGAGGGCCCTCGGCTACCAGCCTGGAACATACCCCTCTCCCTATGCTGGGCACCTCCCCATCACGATGCCAATCTTAGGGGGCCCCTTCTTTTTTGAGGGCGGATCCCCAAGATTGTCATCGCCTCTTGGCGTGTCAATCTTGGGGACAGGGACACGCTCCAGGCTGGCAACTCGGGCGCGCTCCGCGGGGAGGGCGCCCCCCGGCAGACTCTCCCGGGCCGCGCGGCGCTGCGGCGCCGGGGCCCCCGCGACGGGAGGCGGGCTGCCTCCCGGCCGCCCACGAGGTGGAGGTGCCGCCAGGAGGGGCTGTGCCGTCGGCCCCACCCGGTGCCCGCCCCAGACACCCCTGAAGGGGCCCCAGGACACACAGAAAGTAATACACACAAATAAAAAAGATGCCCCATATGTGTCTGTGTGCTATTTCCCCTCCTGAACCACCACCACCACCACCCCACTCCCGGGCGCCAAAGCCATGGATCGGGAAGCTGACCCCCCGACGCACGGGGTCCAAAGCCGCCTCACTTGGCAGCAACGCGCGAGGACTTCGCATGGGCACGGGGCCCTTGGCCAACCCACGCGCCGGAATCCATGCTGGCGTTCCCTCGATCCCCACCGTCCTCTCCTTGGGAGCCTCGGGGGCCATCTTGGGGCCTTCGTGGACGAGATGGACCAAAGGACGGACCGTGCTCAAACTAGCCCCCCCCCAGGAGGCCAACGTGCAGCCACCGCGCGGGTAGAATCCACGATTTCGGCTCCCTCGCCGAGGCAATCTTGGACGCTCCACGCTCTCCCGACCCCGTGGTAGCCTCCGTCGCCCTCCCGCCCTCCCCGCTTCCCCCCTCCACGCCTCCCCCGTGCCGCTCCTCGCCCCCGCCCGAACCCTCGCCTCCTCCTTCTCCTCCTTCTCCTCCTCCTCCTCCTCGCCCGTTTGCTCGCAGACTCAAGGCTGCTGGGAACGCAGCCTACCCTAGGCGAGAGGAGCAAAAAGGGGGGAAGCATGACCAGCGCAGGGGGCAGTTGTGACGCCAGGGGTCCCTACCTACCCACCCTGCCGCCATACAAGCGGCGTGGGATCCCTGCAGATACGGATCCTGGGGACACCAGGAGCTAAAGGAGTCAGCAAGTCCCATTCCCTCATCGGTGAATTATTTCCCTCGCGTGGCCTTGGTGAGAAACCTGGCGGCAACCTTTTCAACACCAGCATGGGCCAATGAAAACTATGAAGGTGAGGAAAGGACGTGCGAGCATGCATGTCATCGCATTTGTTTCTCTCCCTGCCACTAAACAGTTCCCAACTGGAATCCATGTGGGACGCAACAAAAACACAGTGCGCCCATTGGTGAGTACCCATGACTCGACAAAAGGACAAGACGCACAGCGTGAGCAGTCGTATATTCAAGCAGGGAATCAAACAACAGGCTGCTGGTGCAAGCTCATCTGCTCATTGACTTTGTGAGCAGATGCAGTGATCCAAGGTATGGGCAAATGAGCAACAGTCGCTGTCAAAAACATGGAGTCCCTAAAGCTAACGTTTTGCCTAAGGAGACGCTCGCGTTCCAAGGCCACGAGGTCGGAACATCCCCGAGGCGCATCCAAGGTCCTGAGTTTGTGTGACGAGCGTCCACCAGAATCAAACAAGGCGGGAAGAAAAAAAGGACCCTACACTTATCTGACCGTTGAGAATTCGCTGTCTCCACATGTCGAACTGTTGACGCAACAACTCATAAGAGACATGACAGATGATGAGCGGCACAGAGGCATGGCCAATCTCCGTTTGCCACACCTCATGGAAGTCAAGGGGATATCTCCCCCCATCGGGCACGATCAAAAAGCGAGGAGCCCTTACAGCCACAGGCACAGCAGCAACTGCAGCCACATCTTCATGGACACGCATGTCCACAAACGGTGCTGCAAAGGGAGCCTTGCGTCCAGTAGCAAGTCTGGCGGCAGCTGGAGGTCCTATCTCGCGGTAGGCAGCCCTCTCAACATAATGCTCGTGTCTTTCCCGCTTTCGATTGTTCTTCTGGGCAAGGGCGCTGGCTCTGATGTCATCCTCAAAGAAATCAGGAGGATCTCTGCGAAGCTGGACATAGGCGCTAACGCAACCGAAATGTTGTTTCAGGTGTTCGACCAGCCGCCCGCGAGTGTGAAATTGAAACGTGCAAATTTGGCAACGCGAGCCCGTAGACAACTTGCCAGGGCCACTGCTCAAAGCATGAGGTTTCTCTCTGTGAATCGATGAGCCTCTCGCAGATTTCGAGGCGAGCCCACGCTCATAGCAAACGAAGGGGCGAGGCACATCCTCAGCAGGGGCAGCCGGAAGAGCAGACGGAATGGGGCACTCACTGGCAATTCTCTTCACAAGGGCATGGGCACGCTGCTCTTCAGATTGCACATGCACTTCACGGTGGGCGGCGTCGCGGACCAAGCTCCCAAATCTCTTCGGACTGCTACGAGCAAAGGCGAACCGATCTTCCGCCATCCCAACATGTGGGACATCCTTCCCACGAGTCCTCTTCCCAAACCATCCAAAAACATCTCTGAACGAGGCAGGCCAGGCACCAGACACATCCCACATATAATCCATGACCACACGCACCCCTGCAGGAGCTATCAGAAGGACTCTAGGAAGATATGTGAGACGCGCGCACCTGAGCACAACAACCACAGCCATGCGGCCTACTTTGAAAAGAACAGTGGGTTGAAACATATGTAAGTCGGAGGAGTGGGAAAGAGGGAGACCGAGGGAAGAACAATAAGCAGAAACATGTGCCTGAGACAACTTAGCCAGCAGACGGGAGCTAAAGGCTTCCCAGATACAGCAGTTGATAAGAAACTTAGACGTGGCAAGAGCGTCATTGTATTTGGCCTTCGTTATTAATTGAAGCGCCTCTCTGCCCCCATTACTCACCCTGAATATGTCGAAACTCGCCCCTCATTTGGCTAAGTCTATGAACGACCTCCGTGTTGCAACCCTTGCCATCGACGATCGTGGTACATAATCCCTTACTCTTCCTGACCATAGCCACGCGAGAGCCATGAACAGGGGGCCCGACGGTCAAATCACCCACGCATTTGGCTAACTCTTGTTTGACACTGTCAGAATTCCTACCACTCAAGGCAATCACAATAATGGTTTTGGAAGTGTTCAGGGTAAGCCCATATCCTGACGCGGCGGTGTAAGCAATGTCACAGAGCTGGGGGGCCTGCGAGAGCATGTTAAGCGGATTGGGTACAGCAGCAACGCAAGTAAGATCATCGACGGCCGAGGTGGAGGAAAACAGGTTGACCCAATCAGACTCATAGGACAACCTGCAAGGTCCGGGTTCGGGCCTCCATTTCATGTGATGTCTCTCCATATCGCTCTCTATATCCTGGATGGTAGGGCAGAAGGCAACATTGAACATGTCAGTCGCCAGAATGGCCCGTGGACGAGCCCCCAGGGCGGGGCGAACATCGGTGGACGCATCTCTGCATGGTCAACCAGGGTCCCGCTTGAGAATCCCTGACAAGCTCGAGGGGATGGAGATCATCCACGCACCCGTCTAGAATAGCTAGCCCCATCCAGGGCCTGCGACGCTGAAAACAAAGCCTGATGAATGGGAACGTCTTGTATAGCATGCAGGAGGTCGTCCTCTTTCCCTGGCAGTCCAGCAACGAACTGCCTCGCAACGTTGTAAAAAACGCAGAGAGGTCTAGAACACTCGCCGCAGTTGAGACCTTCTCCGCTGCGTGAGCAGCGAACTTGGCACTCGCAAAATGAGCAGCGACGTCGGTGCCCCTGCCATGGGGCCCGCCACATTCAGTCTCACGAAGACAGATCTGCATAAGAGTCCACGCCCTGCTGCGAAAGAAATTTTGATGTATTTTAGCGACGCCGCTGCTGAGGAGGATGCTCCTCTGCGCATTAGCCTTGCTCTGTTCGCCTTTCCCCTTGTGTAAAAGGAAACCACCCTCCCCTCCTTAAAGCTGCACGGCTCTCTGTCTCCAATCGAGGCCCTAGCGAGGATGGGATGGGAGACGCGCGCCGAGGCGCGCGGATCGATTTCTAGAACCTCATTGTCAATGAAGTCAAGTCCCGCGGCAGCCCCCGCTTTTAGTTTACCAATGGATCGAACAAGCTCTTGCATAGGCATAACGTTGTAGATGTTAAGACATGCGCATGCGTCGCCGGTGAGAAGCGCGCCTCTCTCATTGCACCCCTTCTGCATCGCAGGCTTGCTGGCCGGCTGCGCGCGTTCAATGCTGGCAAAGTGTCGCATCATACCGTCAGCGCCTTCCTGGGCGGCGAAAAGAATCTGACCCTCGGGCGACGTGCGGAGCGGAAAGGCTAGAGGCTTCCGACGCCTGCGCCCTCCTTGCATGAGACATTTTTTGGCCAGCGCCGACTCCTGTCTGGAGTGGCCGCCCTCGATGCCACCGGAAATCTGGCGGGCAAAACTCTCCAGGAGGTCGCTATGATCTCTATCATGCGCCCGCAAGAGCACCTCGCGAGTGGTCGAGAGAAAACAAGCAATCTCCAGCGCCCACTCCTCCCTATACATAGTTTTCCAAGCAACGCTCGCGGCAGATTGGCTGATCCGAGTCCAGATGGCGACGCCCCCCCCCCCCCCCCCCCCCAGCGGGCGCAGCAACGTTAAGCTTTTTGTACGTTTAGCAACTAGTGCCCGCACAAACCTCAAGGGCAACGAAAAAT